TGGCAGTTGTGAGGCTGAGAACCATCTCCTGATGGCTGTGTGTGGATTCACACGATTGGGCAGTTCTGCTAACTAGCGCTAGCAGTCGTTCTTTACATGAGCATAGAACAATTGAGGTTTTTAAAAGCATGAAGCAATTTTGAGGGTCTGATTAGGTGCATATTTGGTATGCAAGTCTTGTTTTCCTAGTCCCTAGCTTTATTACTTTGGTTGCTGTTTATCATAGATATGAAACCCAATTTAATTTTAAAGGGGTGATAAATCTGGGATCTGGGCTGTGTACAGTAGTGAGCCGGTGCTTGGCACAGCTAACTCCTGGGACTCCAGTTAATTGTTCATCCAGTTGTATGAATGTGTATTTCTGACTACTAACAAGATTCACACTGCAAGGCTAACCTTTCCCATGAGCGGTGTGCGCTCCAGTGTGGTAGCATTTACAGGCTCCAGCATATCATTCATGTGTCCTGGTGCCTGAAATTCCACTATCTTACAGTCATTCCTTTGGATTCTTCTCTCTGAAGATTCTTTTTAAAAATGCAGATAAACTAGGGACCACATTATATGAATTCCTACACAAAAAGGATGGGTGGATTGTTATGCCTTTCCTCTGACAACAGAGCCCATGATATGGGAAGAAACGTTAACGACTGAGAGGCACACACTCAGATGTTCATTTCTTCATTCGGTCATCATTTGTTGAGCACCTACTGTGTGCCACACAGTGAGCTACAGGGTATTGCTCCTGACTGCAGGAGGCCCATAGTCTGATGGGAGAGGCAGACATTTCCACACAGTGCAGGAGAGAGGGCCTGGGGTATAGAGGAAGGAGGCATGGACCCTCAGTTGGGCATTAATTGCTGAGGCATGTGATGTGACTGCAGGCTGGGTTTTGAAAGGTGAACACAGTCTGCCAGCTGGAGAGAGGCAGGAGTAGGGTCCCGTCAGTTTTCTCTTACCTCTTTCTGACCCCTGACAGAATGTCCAGGCACATTCCTCAGAAGGTCACAAGATCATAGGGCTAGAAAAGTCTGCAGGCCCCTCAGAAGGTCACCAGAGCATGACTTCTGCCCAGAGACTGGGGCACTCTCCCTGGACTCCTCAAGGATACTGGTTTCAAGCAGTTTAAAGGGAAAAAGAAGGAATTCTTAAGACAAATCCAGCCAACCTCATCACTTTGCCTCGGGAAGACCTTGATTTTGGGCCAGGATTTAGTGCATTTGTCTAATCCTTTCATGGAAGGAATTAACATGGAGCACCTGGCTATTTGCTTTATTTCTATCTAAAGCCACTGGCTACACTTGAAGTTAATTATATTGAATTTTTTTTTTCGTTCTTGATATCCCACACAAAATTTCCTCAACTCTGGAAATCACCTTTCCATAATTAAGAGCACAGATTCTAGAACCAGATTGCCTGGACCCATGTTCTAGTTCAGCTACAAGATGTAGACCCTATTCCTGCCTCAGTTTTTCCAAGTGTAAATTAGGATAATTATGGTCTCTACTCCATTGAGGTGTTATGGGGCTTCAGCAAGCTGGTCACATGAGGTTTTTAGAATAAGGTGAATAGCAAGTGCTCAGTGAAGACTGGCTGTTATTCACCCGCTTACTGCACAGCACCTGACCCAGGACTGTGAATTACAATGTAGAGGAAGTGCTGTCTCACCCAGCAAGGCAGTTCAGAACCTACCAATCAACTGAAATATTCACCAAGGGCCAACTGGGTACCTGTGAGTTCTGTGCCAGACACTGGGAATACTAAATCCAATAAAGAGTGGCCCCCATCCTCAAGAAACTTGCGGCCTAGTGAGAAAACTAGACACCATCTCTTCCTTAACATGTACAATGGCATAATTTGTACCTCGCTAAGAAATGTCCTCACAGCCTCTCAACAGGTTCCCGGAACAGGTATCATCCTCCCCACTTCCTGCACAATAATAAAATGTCTATTGGGAAACACTGTTTGCTTATTAAGTGTCATTGGCACCTTAGCATAGGAGGTCATCTTTTTTTGTTTTGTTTTTTGTTTTTTTTTGAGACAGAGTTACGCTCTTTTTGCCCAGGCTGGAGTGCAGTGGCACGATCTCAGCTCACCACAACCTCTGCCTCCCCATTTCAAGCCATAAGCGATTCGTGATTCCCCTGGTCAGCCTCCAGAGAAGCTGGGATTACAGGGACATGCCACCACGCTCAGCTAATTTTTGTATTTTTAGCAGAAACGGGGTTTCACCATATTAGCCAGGATGGTCTGGAACTCCCGACTTCATGATCTACCGGCCTCGGCCTCCCAAAGTGCTGGGATTACAGGCGTGAGCCACCATGCCCGGCCGGAGGTCGTCTTTCCATAAGTTCACCTCGAGGGGAGATGTCTAAGTAGACCCTGTTTTCCTCCTGCAGCGATGGGTTGTAACGAGCGCCATGTTTGTGTCCCTGTGTGTTAGGTTTGGAGGAGACCAGCCTGTCTACATCAACATCATTAGAGACCCCGTCAACCGGTTCTTATCTAACTATTTCTTCCGTCGCTTTGGAGACTGGAGAGGGGAACAGAATCACATGATCCGCACCCCCAGCATGAGGCAGGAGGAGCGCTACCTGGTAAGTCATGCTGCAAGCAAAAGGTGGCCTCCCCACCGCCTGTCCTGGGCTGTCTCCGGGCACAGCAGGGGAGGCTCACTCTCGCCTTCCGCGGCCTTCCGGTGGCGCCTCCACCGAGCGTGGCGCAGGGAGGGCGCTTCCGCCGGAAGGAGGTCTTGGTGAGAGAAACTGGTTCCAGGCGACCCAGACCCTAATGAACATTTCCTCAAATGATTTTCTGATTTTGCTTTGCTCAGTTGTCTTTAGTGCTAGGTTTGGGGTCCCAGAGCAGAAACAGTCTTTCCTGAGTCCTGACTAGCACTGACATGGTTAAGAGGAACAGAGGTGTTGGGGGCGTCTGTTAGAGGGTGGCAGCGCCCCTTCTCATCCCTCAGCCCATTCAGTTCCCATGGCAACCGGGGGACGGAGAGGTGTCTTCAGATGAGGACCCTGAGATTCCAAAGGTCGTGGGATTTGCCACAGTCCTATCTCTCAGATAAAGGCACAACTGCGACCATCCCCTGCCTTCAAGGTCTGCGTTCTTTCCACCACAGCACGATAGAACCCTGTCATTGTAGCAATAATTGTTTGCTTTCTCTGGACTTGTTTTGAGACCCTCAGCTCCATAAGGGATGAGCCCAGTAATTATTTCTGCAGCACAGAGGTTGGTAATAAAAATGGCGTGTGGAGTTGCATGTCTTTCTTTCAGCACTAGAACGAAAGGGACATTTCCCATCCCTGTGTTGAGAAATACTGAGATGCTGACAGCCTAGTGCCCAGTAGGCTGAAATCCTGGTCTCTGTCTGAGAGAGCCCTTGGGGTTCACCCGGACCCGTCCTGGGCTGTCTCCGGGCACAAGCAGAAAAGAAGGAAGTGTTGAGGATCACTAAGATGCGTCGCTCCCAGGGCTGGAAGACCGCCCAGCGCCGAAGCCACTGCTGATATGCCCTCCACAGCAGCCTGGCCGCTGGAGGAAAGCAGCTAATCTCGGGGCCACGGCCAGGACAGCTGCTTCCTCATCTCATTTTAAAAACATAATGGAAGGGGGTGTTCAGAGGCTGGGAGTGTTTCGGGATGATGTCCCCTCAGTGTTATGTGCATGTTTTCAAATTCATTATTGGAGAAAACTGAGATAAAGAGAAGTTAGTGTCTCTAACTTCTAGGGCTAGACGATGACACCAGACCCACGGCTTTCCACTCACCTTCAGTATTTCATCCACTGCCTAAGGCTTCAGTGAAGTATTTTGGTGATATATTTTTTATTTTTATTTTCTTCCATTGATGATCTATTTTAGAAGTGGCTTTTTTTTTTAATAGCCAAACCCTAATCTATTTCTTTATAGGTTATGAAGCTGGGCACAGTGGCTTACGCCTGTAATCCCAGCACTTTGGGAGACCGAGGCAGGAGAACCACTCTTGGCCAGGAGATCATTCTGGCCAACATGGTGAAATCCCATCTCTATTAAAAATACAAAAATTAGCCAAGCATGGTGGCACACATCTGTGATCCCAGCTACTTGGGAAGCTGAGGCAGGAGAATCTCTTGAACCCAGGAGGTAGAGGTTGCAGTGAGCTGAGATCACTCCACTTCACTCCAGCGTAGGCACCAGAGTGAGACTCCATCTCAAAAAAACAATTTTTAGTTAAAAATAAATAAAATAAAAATTTAAAAATAAACTATAGGTTATAAATATGACCATATTTTTTTTATTCAGTGAGATGTGTAATTGTAGTATAGAACCACTTACTGGAACAATAATGTCATCTCTATCTTCATTATTTGTTTTGGATCTTGATTAATATAGCTATATGTTCTTTTAAAAACAGCATACATTCCATTTAATCCAGATAATTCTTTCATAGTTCTGATTCAATCCTCATGCTGAGAAAGTTAGGACCAAAGGATAGCAGAAAACGCTGAACAATCAATGATATTATGAACCCTGCTCTTCGAATATTAATGTAAGAGTTGAGAGAAATGCTCTAGCTTTTTTTGCTCTGTCAAGCTTTTGTTGCCATCCTATAAATCATTTCATATAACGTAGTCTTCACACACTCACACAAATAATAAGCTGCAATCATTAGAGAGAAAGGTGGCAAATGTAAGGGAAAAAAATGTGGTTTGGAGTTTCTATTTGTTTGTTTTTGTTTTTCTTTTTGTTTTGAGACAGTCTCACTCTGTCTCAGTCTTGTTCTGTCTCTCTGAGTCTGCCCAGGCTGGAGTGCAGTGGCGACGTCTCTGCTCACTGCAGCCTCCACCTCCAGGGTTCAATCCATTCTCCTGCTTCATTCTCCCGAGTAGCTGGAACTACAGGCACCTCCCACCACACCCAGCTAATTTTTGTATTTTTAGTAGAGGTAGAGTTTCACCATGTTGGCCAGGCTGGTCTCAAACTCCTGACCTAAAATGATTCACCCACCTCGGCCTCACAAAGTGTTGGGATTACAGATGTGAGCCACCGCACCTGGCTTGGTTTGGAGTTTTTTTTAAAAGGTCATAAAATGTTGAAAGTTAGTAGTTGGGGTAAGTGTTATATTTTTGAAGAGCTGGTAACTGCCTTTATTATGTGACTTGAGAGATTGTAGGGAGATTTCCCTGCTTGGAATTCTGCCCTTAGAGATTTGTAGGGGACCCTTTTCAAATGTAAGCACTGTGTTCAGGAAGGGTCTATGTCAGATGAGGTCATGAGATCGATCCTTGGCAAGACCCCAGCAGGAAAGTATGGGGATCCCCAAAACAGCACAGCAGAAACCCAGGGGTCTCAAGAGAGAAGAGCTGGTGAGCTGGTGGGGGGAGTGTGTCCCCTTCATGATCTAGTTCCACCCTGACCTGGTTAGAAGGCTGCCTTCTTGTTCAAAGGATAGTTTGTTTATTTGGAAGAAGATGGTTTATTGCCTTTTTTTAATAGCTGAAACTTTTAATTCCATCTCCTTGGTCCCATTAGACCCTTGAAATAAAATTGCGCCCTTTCAGAAGGGTCTGTCCTCATTTTGGCAAAGCCTGGGTGGTCAGTTGTTTGACTCAAAAGAGGGTGTTGTTTGTGTCTCAGCGGGATACAGGCAGCTGTGAGGAGCCCACTGTCCCCTCCTCACAGGCCACCCCTCCCATCGGAGACCTCTCCCTACACACCGCAGGCACAGGGTCTTGGGTGCTGGCCTGAAATGGGTCTGCTGATTTACCACATCGTTCCAGATCTCAGTGCTCCAAAGCCCCTTGCTTTATCCAGTTGCCAAAAATCGGACAGTTCTGCTCCTGGCCCTGAGCCTTACAGAGCTGCTTAGCATACAGCTGGGAGCAGCCAGTGCCTGCCTCTGCGCCTGCTCTGGGGGTGAAATAATACCATCTTGTGAGGCAGGGTGGTTTGGAAGAAAATGGAAAGAGTAAAGGAATCCTGGGATTTGCAGGAACCCCAAGGAGGATGAGGACACTCATTTTACAGGTGTGGAAATAGGCCTGGGATTCGGGGTGGGGTAAAGCCCCTGCCAGGAGGAGAAGCCAGACCTCCTGACTCCACCTTGGTGCTGTTTGCCCACTCAGACCTTACGTTTTTACCTCCTGAAGGGTAAAGGGAGAAGAGGACTGGGCCGAGTCCCATGCTTTTGAAGCAGAATCATCTTATGGAACATTGTCCATCTGTACAAAGACGTCGCTGTTACAGCAATTTGTTTTCAAATATGCAGGCATCTTATAGCTACTCCTTATGTTGTGGGAACAACTAGGTTTTCTCAAACTTTCTATTTCTTTTCAAACTCTTCTTTCTTTGCATTTGCTGAAAAATCATTTTTTAAATAAATTAGTGCTCGCATAGATGCAAGTTCAGCTTCTAGCAGCCATACTGTAAAAAGGCAGTTGTCTTAGGTTCATTTCTTTTTGACCATAGCTGGAAACTCCCCAGTGCTGAGGTGGCTGCCTCCTTTTCGGGGGTGAGGGTCCTCTGAACCCAGGCACACTTGAACACATCCCAGGACCTGAGACTCTTCTCCAGCTCATATCCAGCCTCCTTTATTTCCAGGGTAGTGAAATACCTGGCACACAGACCATATTTAATGGCAGAATGAATGATGGAAAGCTTTTTCTAATGAAGAGCAACTGTTGTCAATTCCAGATGAGGGAGGGCATCTTATTCCTGCTGAAGCCTCTTCCTTTTCTAATCTCAGAGCTTCCATGAAAGTGGATTTCTTGTGCTGTCATTTTCACCCGGCTGGTAACACACGTCAAGTTCTCAAAAATGTCAAATTGGGCTCCTGCCCTAACCATTATTGCCACTTCACTAGGCCATTCTCCATTTGAAGAATAGGAAGAGAAGGGAGAAAATTTTCCCAGAGGAAACACTGCCTCTGTGATACTATTTATTCGGCTTGGCTGTAAAGTGTGGAAAGTAATGCATGTTTAAAAGAAAAGATGCGTAATTTACAGCTTCTTAATTCATAAAGAATTTGGTGAATCATGTTGGCCCTGTTGGATTCTGGAGAAGTCTGAAAATTGGCCAGAGTCAGCAAAGGTTTTTAGAAAGCTATGCATTTTAATCTACTTGAAAGTTTTGGACTCAGAGCGTCCTTTAACTTTGAAAGTATACATATGAAACACTGGTGTATGGAAATTTCCACTCTGTCTCGACCAGCTGAGACTGTCCTGTGAATGAAAGAAACCTCAGGCATTGCCTCTATTCCTAAAGCATCATTTTTCGTAAATAAATAAAATGAAGAAGGGCTTTGGATTATCTGCTTTTTAAGTGTTTCAGTAAATATCTATGTTTTCCAAATCTGGGAAGGTAAGAAAGTTAGTCTCTTGGCTTTCAACTAGTTCAGATTTAGCTTCCAATTGCAGGCTGAGCTAGGGCCTCATGATAAGATGTATTTATATTCCCTTCTCAGGGAATATAAGAGAAGCCTTAGCTGGGTGACTTGGCCTGGGAGTTAGCCTCTCAAACCTTGCTTGTCCCTTCTGTACAATGGGACCATATCACCTAGTTTGCCTGCTTTACAGGGTTGTTGGAGAGTCAATTGAGCGTTCCACACAGAAGTGCTTTGGAAGCTAAAACTCTCCAGAACACATTTCAGTATTGATACTCCTACCCCCTTGGCTCTGTTACTGGCTCCACATGACCTAAAGGAGCCATTTTTTCCTACAGACCTGGAGCTCCTCTGCTCAGGGAGTCCACAGGAGCTGCTGCTGTCCTGGGGCTCAGGACATACTGGGTCCTGAATCCTCAGGTCTACTTCTGCTGTGGTCTCAAATTGCCTCACTAGACTCCTTCCCCTGGGAACTCGTTTCTAAGGAAACTGCTTCTCTTTGTGTTCCCAACAGCTGGAGATGTGTTTTGATCCCAGCCCACTGGCATACATTTGTCCTGTGTTTATTTACTTGGAAACCTAAGCTCCTGTAGGCCCTGGGTTGGAAAGTCGTATACACGCACACTCTCCCCCTCCAAGGGGTAACGAGAAAGGCACGCCAGAGCCGAATGCTCTGCCAGGCTGATGCAAGCCATCCAGGAGCATGGAGGACCAGGAAGCCCCTGCTTCAGAGATATGCTGTGAAATACATTTGTCCTGGGGAAATGTGAACTCCTGTGTCCTCCTAAAGAAGGAGTCACAGGAGTTTTTAGGACCAAAGGCCACTTCTGGGGGTGAGCAAGACCCGAGAGTATCCCTGGGGATTCAGGCAAACAGAAAACAAGATGCGTGAAGTAGGGGGCAAGGGAGGAGAGGAGGAACCAACAAAGGGATTTTGGAGCTAGAATAGAATGCAACCCTCTGCTACCTGTGCTACCACCAAACAGCAGCAGCCATGTGTGTGGCATGTAGCAGGTTAGCATGCTTTGCCTCATGGTGAGGCATCCGCCCTCACAGCCTCCCCTGGTGTAGCTATGAGCACTCCACAGTCCCCTCTTATGGACCAGGATGGCGATCCCAGAGAGGTTGAGGGGTGGTTAAGATCAAATCAGCAACAAGGGGGAGTTGCATGAGGCTACCTTAGTTACAAGGGGCTTACGATTCACTCAGCTCACCTCTGGTAACAAGAGCCAGCGGGCAGGAGAACTGTGGGAGTGAAGACAAAAGGATGGCAGGCCAGTGAAGACCAGGAAACGCCAGGAAAAGCCAGGCCCCATGGGAAGCGTGTAACCCACAGCACAGCCAAGTCACATGGAAACTAGAAGTTGTTGAGACTTAGAGCCACATCCAGCACCCAAGTATCAGTGGCCAGGCTGCACCAGTGTTCTCAGTTCTCTTCAGCCATCTTCAGAGACACCAACCTTGGATTGAGCCCTTCTCATGCTTCACTCCTCTCCTTCTTCCATCTCATTTCTCTAGCCTAGCTGGAAAGGGCTCCACTTTTAAGGACTTATGTCATTAGATTGAGCTCACCCACCCAGATAATCCTCCATAGTCTCCCCTCTCAAGGTCTGTAACCTTACTCACATTCACAAAGTTCCTTTTGCCATACGACGTAACATAGTCACAGGTCCCAGGGATTAAGAAATGGACAACTTTGGGGTCCGTCATTTTTGCCTACTACAATGTAACCAAGGACGACTTACTCAGCATGGGGCAGAGAGGACTATGGAGAGGATGTGGGTGTGACAGGCATTCTGACACTTGGCTATTCCACTTACAGGTGCTTGCCACTGTGCATTCTACTGTGCAGTGGCACCAAAACATGGCTGTCCTGTCCCTGATCTGCAAAACCAAGTGGCCAGTCAAACATTTTGTTCTTCTTCTTCTGCTAGTGACTCATCCATCCATCATTCATTCATTCACTCAATAAACATTGACTTAGTACTTTCGGTATAGTAGGAACTAGAAATCAAATGCTGAGCTAAAATAGACACCATCAGTCCTCACAGAGCTCACAGACTGCAAGGGAGACAGGCGTTCATCCTAAAACCACACAAATGTGTGTGAAGTCACAGCTGCATCACATCCTACAATGGGCGGGTGGGGACATGGCGCTGTCCAGGCATTGAATGGGGTAGTTGGCAAGTCTGGAAGTCAGAGAAGTGTTGATTGCACCAGATCTAAAGGGAAAGAGGAGAAGGAAGAACACTCAGGCATAGAGAACAGGACATACAAAGCCCTGCAGCAGGAGGGAGCACAGCGAGCAGGAAGGAGAACCAGGGAAGCTGAAGCAGGGTGGGCTGAGGGAGGAAGGAAAGAGCTGAATCCAGTGATGTGGGGAGGCAGGGAGTGGGCCCTGGGGAGCCTCCCAGACCCTGTTAAAGATCCCTGGGAGGCACTAAAGGACTTAAAGCAAAAGAGGCATGTTTACAGGGCATCCTGGACCTGGACATTTTGCAGTGGAGGAATCACTTTGGCAACAACATAGAGAGTGGAGAAGGTCTTCAACTAGATGTGGATAGACCAGCTAATCAGAGGCTACTGCACTGATCCAAGTGCAAGATAAACCAAGGAGCAAGTATTTATGGGACATCAACCATGTGCAAGGAGCAGTTACAGTTGGGGTCAGGGGCAGCGATGAGGGAGCAATTACAAAGACGTGGAAGACTCATTGCTGTGCTTTCAATTGCTTGCTGCCTGGTTAGCAACAGAAGACTCAAACTTGAAAGGCTTAACACCAACAAGGAGAGAGATACTAATAGCTCAGTGCAGCCATACAGGACTTGTCATTGGCTGGGATGTGTTAAATTAGCAATCTGAAAAATGTGGGGAGGAACGAAACCAGCAAGAGTGGGGTTGGGAGCAGCTTCCCAGAAGAGCAGAGGAGGGGAGAGGAGAGGTGGGTGCTGTCTTTTGGGGTAGAAGCAGATGTGGCAGAAGTCAGGCTCTGGGGACAGCAGGAGGAGACAGTTACAAGTGAGGTGACACGTTAGAAAGTGTGTAAAAGCCTGAGAGCAAGAGGCTCACTCTATGGTGAACCACCTATTTGGCAGGAGCAGAGGGCTTAGGGAGGCGAGGAGCTTGGGGACGGCAAAGTGTTTCTCCAGATGTCCCCGTTGTGGGGAAAGCAAAGCTTCTCTGATGGCTGCCAAGGCAGGTTTGCCCGACCTGCTGTCTCCATGCAAGGTCCCATCAGGCGCACCCAATGCAAGAGCACAGCCAGGTGCATCCGCCGGCCACCTGTCAGCTGAGCTCATCTGCTGTGAGCCCCGCCCTCACTGTGAGTCAGAGGAGCTGCTGCAGCTGTGTCCCACAGCTGGTGCCCAGCACTGCGCCCCTGCTGGGGGTGGCTAACGTTTACTAAGGCGGTGGTTCTCAGCCTCGGCCACTCGTGGAGTCACCTAAGGGCTTTAAAAGTTACTAACGCCTGGGTCCCACACCAGAAAATTCTGGTTTAATTGATCTAGGGTGCAGCCTGGGCTTTGGGTTTAAAAAAAAAAAAAAGCTTCGGGAATGATGCCAACGTGTAGCTGAGGTTCAGAACTATTGAGGAATTAACAACACATCCGTTCCTGACTGCCTTAGCAGGAGCTGTTTACATTGCGAGAAGCACCCCCGAATGCCTTATGGAAGCTTACCTTCTTATCCTCTGCCCATTTGGAAAAACCTGTATCTGCCCTCCCTTTAGGCATTTTTATTTGTTAGGCTTTTAATTGGCATATGCAAATAAATGTCATTAAAAAGGTTTGATGGTATAGTGCAATATTATTTGTTGTATTTATGAATATTCTATATATGCCTTAAGTCAGACTTTATTCTAAAATTGAAGTAGATAGTATTTATTATCCACAAACCAAGGAGTGCATTATACTGTACATTTCGGATCTCACATTAGGAAGCCACACTTTAGACAATAAAACTGAATGAGCACTTTGATGAATAAAAGGTTTTAGCATATGGACATCTTTTTATTTAGGTTGACAAGCCACTTGGAGTCCATTGCCACGTCTTCAAAGAGACATATGACATTATTTAAATGCAGGCCAATTCATACAAAGACATGTAAATGCAAAATTAAAAGATGTGGGTGAGTAGAACTACATTTTAAAGGCAGTCAGGAAATGTTCTGTGAATGCAGTCGGGGGCTTGCTATCGAAAAGCTGTGGGATGAGGTTTTATATAAAGTGAAAAACTAATGGCTCCATTTAACTTTGTTAAAATTTTGAATTTTCTACCCTACACTTATTTTTGCAGAAGTTGGCATGCCTCTGTAGTTGTCCTCAATTGCTTTGCCATTTGTAATATTTTTTTCTCAGCCCAAACTGTTTTACATACACAGTATAAATTCCCCAAAGGCTAAATGACCTCCAAACGTGTTCTTAAAAATATTTTGCAAAGTCTGAAGACAGGAAAAGTAAGTGTAAAACATCTAAGAGATTTATTGGAATCTCAGCTTGAATTCTAATTGCGAGTACTTATGAAAATGTCAATATTAACATGAAATAGCTGGCAGTTTTTCTAATAAATGTAAATTGAATTAGATAGTGTGTAATTGGAAAAATACTTGCTTCACTCAGGTTTCTCAAAACAAGACTCAGAATTTGTTAGCTGCGGCACCCTTGCCCTCTAATGGCTGGAAGTTGAAGGACAAGGCTAAAATACTTTTGACTACAAGGAGGATAGAAACTAAGAGGAGGGAATGTCTGACTATTTGTCACCATATTGAGGACAAAGCGTGCTTCTTCCCAAAGCATGGAGCATAATGTCGATGTTAGCATGAGCTTATTATTAAAAGGAGGTGGGTGGGTGGGGAGCCGAGGCCATGCCAAGTATCTTGGAGCTTCAGAATAATCTTGGTTAGAAACAGGTATTATAGATGCCTAATCTCCTGAAATGCAGTTGAAAGTTCAAACTTGCCTTATAATATTACAAGAATTAAATACCTGAACAAGTTATACAGTAAAGAATCTAGCCTGGACATTGTGATGGTCCTAGTTTATAGTCATTGAGATTTCCTAAGCACTTGTAACAAACAACTTTTGTTCCCTTTTCTGACTGACCAATGAGTATCTCCGACAGAGTAGAAATGATACTAGTAAAAGCCTTTTGGCAGGAATCTCCTAAGAACTTTGATTTCAGCCCATGTGCTTTCTGGGAAAGCAGCCAGGAATGAATGGAACAGGTGGGGGCTTAACTGGCTACAAAATCACACAGCCTCTAGAACAAAGCACTTTTTCTCTGACCCTAAACCCATGCAGATATTCACAGTTGAATGAAAGAATTTTAACCAAAGCTTACTCAATTTCCTGACAAGCAAAGCTTTTAAAACACCTATCTGCAAGAAGCCCCAGTCAGCAAATGAGTAAGGCACTGACTCCTAAACTATGGCTCTGCATTTTATGTTACAAAGTAAAAACACAATGGAATTGTCCCAACATTCAGCTAAAAGTTTGCATAGGCATCTCTCTTTGCATTGAAGATGAAATAACACTGATGTGATTTTTATAGTAAGATGGCTGTCTCTTTGCCACCTTGCAGATTAATCCTTCATCCCAGGTTTTGTAATTAACCACTTGGATAAGACTTGTAGAAAGAGTCAGCAGATGTGTAAGATAAAGTTATCAAGTTCAATAATTAATGAAGAATCACGCTTGTAAACCCAGCACTTTGGGAGGCTGCGGCGGGAGGATCACGAGGTCGGGAGACCTAGACCATCCTGGCTAACACAGTGAAACCCCATCTTTACTAAAAATACAAAAAATTAGCTGGGTGTGGTGGCACACACGCCTGTAGTCCCAGTTACTGAGGAGGCTGAGACAGGAGAATCGTTTGAACCCGGGAGGCAGAGGTTACAGTGAGCCGAGATTGTGCCACTACACCCCAGCCTGGGCGACAGAGCAAGATTCCGTCTCAAATAAATAAATAAATAAAAGAAACTTTGATGACAAATGTCAGGTATAATCAATGGCATTCTGTGCCTCACCACTATTAATAAAAACCCTGAGAGATTGAGAAAAGGGTCCTGAACCAAGGTGATAAGATTAGCCAAAACCGGTTTTGCTCAGTGCAGGTATTTCTTTTTGACATTCTCTTACATCGCTTCTTAAACTCTTCAATTATTTCATTACTCTAAGTCTTATGTTTTGAACTAAAATGTAACTTGATAATAGAATGTCATCTTTTTTAGTCTCAGTACCCATCACAGCTCCCTGTTAAACTCCCAACAACAGATGCTTATTATTAAAAGGAGGCGAGGATGTGTGCAGCTCCAACGACGTCCACCTCTTTTCCCCATTTACATGTGCAATTTCAACATATTTTGAACACCTGTAATATGCCAGACACTGTCAACCTGTCTCCAGTTCATCTTCTTCCAAGCCATGGTCAAAGAGTTCAGGGCGTACATCTGACTTCATCATTGCCTTGCTTAAAACACTCCTATGTCTTTCTGATCTTTAAATATAATATTAGCTATCATCATTATTATATTATCATTTTATCAAAAAGCATCACAACTGCACATGAATCTATAGTCATCTCAATAAAATTTCAGTTAGAAAAAAAGCATCATGCACCAATAGAGAAAGGAGAGGTTTATCAATAAATAGTGCAGGAAAAATTGGATGTTAAGGAACCCGGCATACATCAAATAAATTCACATGCATTAAAAAGGTAAAATATGAGAAATCAGAAGGATGTGTGTCAGCCGTGGGGGCTGTGAGTTGTCTATGCTGTGGAAGAAGATGTAACTGAGCTAGAGGATGGCAAAACACACAGGCAATGGGAGAAATCACAAAAGAAATGAATTTTAGATTTGTCTTTAGATAAATTAAGTTTATTTCACAAAAAGTCATTATAGGCAACGTTAACAGGCAAATCCAATAGAGACAATATTTACAAATATGACGAGAGTTTATTCTTTTCGTGTTTTGTTTTGTTTTGTTTTGTTTTGAGACAGAGTCTTGCACTGTAGCCAGGCGCCAGGCTGGAGTGCAGTGATGCGACCTCGGCTCACTGCACCCTCCGCCTCCCGGGTTCAAGCAATTCTTCTGCCTCAGCCTCCCAAGTAGCTGGGCCTACAGACATGCACCACCACACCCAGCTAATTTTTTTTTGTATTTTTAATAGAGACGGGGTTTCACCATGTTGGCCAGGATGGTCTCCATCTCTTGACCTCGTGATCCGCCCGCCTCGGCCTCCCAAAGTGCTGGGATTACAAGTGTGAGCCACCACGCCTGGCCGACGAGAGTATATTCTTGAAGATATTAATATATAAGAGCTCTTATAAATCAGTAAACACATGACTAATTCCCAATTGAAAAATTACAATTCCAGATAATCTAAAAAATGCTCAGCCTCATCTATAATTTTTAAATTGCAGATTAAAGCAATATATCCCTTTCAATATATTAAACTGGTAGAGACTTCAGAAACTACAAGTAGTGGAGTGCTCATAAATGTTTAACAACCACCTCTGGCGGGGGTGGGAAGTTGTTTTGTAACTTTGCCAATTTCCGTCGTGTAAATACTTCTCACCATGGTGATTTCAAACTACTAACATGACATCGCTGACTACAGCAGAGTTAAGAGATGGGCATTTGCCTCTTATAAGCTGTTACTGTCCGGCTCTAGCACATTTCCATTTCATACTCAGTGCTGTCAATAGTACATCAGAATGGACATGTCCATATATTTCTGGTATCAGGATTCTGGGAATGTGGTCCTTCTTGTGCATCATTCAGTTCCTCAGCCCCTCACCTGCACACCATGTTATCGTATGTCTTTATCTTTGCCAGCCTGAGAGATGAGAAATGATGTGTCAGTGGGGTAAGTTGCGTTTCTCTCTTTATGAGTGAAGTTGAGCATCTTCTCACATGTTTAAGAGGCAATTGTGGGCCGGGTGCGGTGGCTCAGGCCTGTAATCCCAGCACTTTGGGAGGCCGAGGCGGGTGGATCACGAGGTCAAGAGATCAAGACCATCCTGGTCAACATGGTGAAACCCCGTCTCTACTAAAAATACAAAAATTAGCTGGGCATGGTGGTGCGTGCCTGTAATCCCAGCGACTCAGGAGGCTGGGGCAGGAGGATTGCCTGAACCCAGGAGGCGGAGGTTGCGGTGAGCCGAGATCGCACCACTGCACTCCAGCCTGGGTAGCAAGAGTGAAACTCTGTCTCAAAAAAAAAGAAAAAGAGGCAATTGTATTTTCCTTTCTCATCATATCATTGCCCATTTTGCTAACTTCTGATTTCTAGGAGCTTTTCAGAAAATTACACAGATTTGCCCATTACTTATGATATAAATTGCAAGTATTCTTTTACTAGTTAGTAATCTTTTAACTTTCCTTGTTTTTTTCCATGCATAATTTTATTTCTTTGTAGTCAAATTTATCAACCTTTTTCTTTTTATGGCTTCTGAGTTTTGTGTTACACTCAGAAGGATCTTATTAACTCTGAAACTATAAAAAAAATTCTGCAGGATGCCTTCTAGAGTTTTGTTGTTACTCATGTCAAATTAAAACCTTTAATATTTCTGAAATTTATCCTGATGTCAGGTATATCATACCAATGTACAGTAGTTTATTTCGCTTCCAGATGACTAACAAATTATCCCCACATTTATAGAATAATTAATTTTTTCCTCATTAAAGCATCACCTTTCTTATATCACAAACTCGTGGTTTTAGAGGGATCTATTTTATCTTTTGCATTTTATTTTATTCCATTAATGTATATCTTTATGTACAG